AGGCTGCGGCTCTCACTGGTCCTGCCCGTTTCTCCCGATGCTGACACACAACCCCTGCTTCCATGCCCACAGTTCCAGAGCCTGCAGTTGGAGCGGGAGATGTGTTTGGCTTCAAACTGCACCCAGGCCAAAGTGAACCTGTCCCTGCGCCCGCAGCTGGAAGACGGGAAGGCTGCCCTGGCCATCAAATACCAGGAGCTGCAGGAGATACGAGAGGCATGTTGGGACAAGCAGCAGCGCCTGGGTGAGTGGAGCGCAGTTGATGGGACGAGGCAGAGCATCCCGCCCGAGTGGGCTCAGCATCCTCAAACCTGCTCCAGGGAAAGAGCTTACTTGGGAGCAGTGGGGGGTGATGCTGCTTGCAATGGGATGGATGCCATGGTGGGATGCAGGTGGCTCCAGGGATGTGTTTGGGGGTATTTCAGTTTGGGGAGGGAGCTGACGCTTGGGGATGGGAAAGACCTCAGCCCCAGAAATAGGGATGTCCTGGTGAAGGTTTGTTGGCAGCCCCATCTCTTCCTGACACAGAGGAATACCTGGAGAACTGGAGCCCGCAGAGTGCCCTGGGCAAGCTCCAAGCCAAGCTCGATGCCTCCGAGGCAGAGTCAGAGGTGAGTCAGGCAAGACCCCTGTGCTGCTGCCTCTTCCTTGTCTGGGCCCTGGTTACTCTTTGTGCCCTCCCAACATGCCAGGCCCTGAAGAAGAGCCCAGAGTCTGGGGGTGCTCAGTCATCTGGGCTCTTTCTGTGGTCCCACAGCTCTCTTGGCTTGGTGTCCCACAGGCACAGGTAGAGCAGTTCCTGGCCCAGGACCTGCCCCTTGATTCTTTCCTGGAGTCCTTCTGCCAGAGTCGCACACGCTCCCATATCTGCCGGACGCAGCTGGAGAAACTGCAGGAGCTGCTGCAGAAGGACTGGGTGGGCAGGGACCCTGCGGGCCCCACGGGGTGCCGAGGGGCCCCACCTAGCCTAGCGCCAGCCCGCCTAGCCCCATTGCAGAATGGAGTAGTCCCCAAAGCCTTCAACCTCTCCTACGGCTTTGTCCCCACTTTTCTCATCCCCTCGGAGGCCGCTGTACCCTTTGCCATGCCAACTGCACCTCCCAGACACCATCTCCCAGCCCTGGGACACCAGCCAGCATCTCCCTGCTCCAAAAGCCCCAGCCTTGGCTCACCCCTGCACCTCATCGGACACATCCCCCTGCTCAGCCCTCAGCCCTCCTGCAGACAGCAAGAGCAGAAGCAGGAGCTTCCGCACCGGTAGTGGGGCAGGGATGGGAGATGTCCCTGTCAGTTCTGAGGGGCTGCGGAGCCTGTTGGGCAGGCACAGGGTGGGTGCTCACAGAAGGATGGAAGTGCTTGGCTGGGGGTGGGATGGGGTGGGTGCTGTGGCTGAGCAGTGGGTTCTGCACTTGGGAAGCTGCCTGGGGGAGGTCTCGACATCCACAAGAGGAGCAGTGACAGGAGGCGGGGGCTGGTGGCTTGTGGGGATGTCAGTGGCTCAGTCAGGTGGGAGGTAGCAGGGAGGAGGACCCAGGAGCACTGGGCACCATGTGCTTTCTAAATAAAGGCTCTTTTCCATGCTCTGTGTTACTCTGGCTCTGGCTATGAACAGAGGGATGGGACAGGCAGGGGGAAGTGGTTCCAGGGGGACACTTGCCAGGCTTGCAGGGGACTGAAAATCTAGCAGGATCCTCCAGCCTGGGGAGTCCCCAGGTGCTGGACCTGCACTTGGCTCAGCCATCAATGCCCTGCAGTGTCCCTTATGCTGTTTCTAGCTTCTGATTTGGTTTTGTGTCCTTCTCATGCTTTCAGCCCATCTGGTTGTAGCATTTTTTTCCTATTTCCCACATGCCTGCCCACCCTGCAGCTTGGCACTGGTATGTAGATTGCTTAGAAAACAGTTTCTCCAACCCTGGTGTTGGTCCTTACCCAGTTTGGAGCATGTACTGCCCCAGAGCAGTGGTCCTGGCAGTGAGTGTAGGTGCAGCATTAGTGCACCCAGTGCCTCTGGGGAACCTGGCAGCATCGGGCATCTGCCTCTTCATCCCTGGAGTGTGCAGTCAGCACCTTACATATGGCAGCAACAGTCCCTTCATCAGGGCCTGGGCTGTGGACAAAGCTCTGCAAGTCACAGACAGAAGCACTGGATAACAGGCAGGAGCTGGCAGCAGCACAGGATGACCCCTGTGCCCCTCCTTGCTTGTACAGTGGCTCTCCCTGCCTGCACCAAGTGCTGCCTGTCCCGCAGGGCCACCTCAAGAGGAGTCAATGTGCCTCCACTCACATTGGGCGAGGAGGAGGAAGTGTTGCCTTCAAGCGTGTACCTGCATTCATTTCTGCACAGCCCCGGCAGCAGCCTGGGGGCAGCTCAGCCCCAATGCACAGCTGAGGCTGGGCAGGGCAAGCAGGGACCTGGCCTCCCCAGCCCCTCGCTGGGCCTGGCAGCAGCCTCCAGCGCAGGAAGAACAGGCCTCCTGGGGGAGAAGGGGTGTCCCAGCACTGCCAGCCTCAGGAGACCCTTTGAGCCACAGCCCCAGGGCTGTAAACCCCCAGGCTGGGCCCCTGCTGTGGCAGCACCCAGAGTTAACAAACTCTATTAACCATTAACTCCATTAACAGAAGTCCCTGCAGGGGATGCTTTGGAAAGGAGGGGGAACTGTCCCCCCAGTGCTGCTCAGGACCCTGCTCACACAGCCTGCAGCTCGCTGTCCACCTGGCACCCACAGAGACCTGCCAGGAGCCCAGCTTAACCCCTTCCTTTCCAAAGAGCAGCCCAGCTTCTCCAGATGGAGGGGAAAGAATCAAGAGAATCTCAGGTTGGAAGGGACCTCAAGGATCATCTGTCCAACCTTTCTAGGCAACGCATGGCCCGGACTAGATGTCCCAGCACCCTGTCCAGCCCAATCTTAAGTAAGCATCCAACTCTCAGGAGTCATCACTTCCGTGGGGAGATTATGCCAACAGCTGGTTGTTTTTATTGTGAAAAATCATCCTCTTGTGTCCAGTCAGAATATTCCCAGGGGTAACCTGTACCCATTACCTCTCATCTTTTCATTTCTCTTGTAAAAAGGGAGGAGTTTCCACCTTCTTTGTAGCTACCCTTTAAATAATGGAAGATGATGACAAGGTCTCCCCGACCTTCCCTCTTCCAAGGCTGAACAAATCCCATTCTCTCAGGCTTTCCTCACACATGCTCAGCCCTTGAATCATTTTTGTGGCCCTTCTCTGGATCCTCTCCAGAGGGTACATCACACGTACACAACAAGTACTGTGTCAGAGGCAGCACAGAACAGGGCTACAGCAGGCAGGATTGAAGTCCACAGTGGCTTAGGGAGGCCATCCTACCCATTCACTGCTGACTGCAGGCAGCATACCCACCCCTCCCAGCATGACCTCAGGGAAACAGGACCCCCTCTCCCCACCCTCTTCCTCTGCCTGCTGCAGACACCATGTGGAACACCAGCTTGAACAATACCCTCCGATTTTCCAGCAAGTACAAGGAATATTTATTACCCAAGCCCACCAAAAGAAAGATACGTCATTTTGTCACCAGTTTATGGCTAGGTATCTTTAATGTTCAAGAGAACTTATGGAGAAATGAAGAACCAGTAATATGAACTTCCCAAAGTCACGTGGATTAGCATGGTGCCTTGGTACTTCACCTCCCAACTTCAGACCCAAGCATCAGACACAATGCAGCTGGCTTACTGGAGCAGCTCTTCTCTGTCTTGGTGTAATGCGGCAGAACAATTCAGGCAGTACATCACCTAACCTGCTCCTCCTGCTCCACGCTGTACCATACCAGAGCCTCTCTCTGCCAGGAAGCTGGTTCAGACTCTGCCTGTAGGAACAGCCCCAGGCTTCAGCACTACACAGATTCAGGAAAGATCAATCCAGCCTGGAAAAGAACGTTTCCTGCCAAACTCAACCAGAGAAGCTGCCTCTGGTCCTTCAAGTGACTTGGTTTATACCATGAAAATGCACCAGCATGTGACACAGAGCCACAACTCCGGAGACCTTCACTCTGTAACCAATGCTCTGACAACCAGAGAGGATCCTGGGAACCACTCTCTCCCTGGGCTGAATTTGCTCCAAACACACAACAGACTCCACAGTCTGCAGCTGGAAGTGGTACAATGCTTTCCAGAGAAGGCAGAAAGCTCTCCTGTACAGCCCATACCCTGTACCATCAGACATTACAGTCCCTGTCATGCTACTGCCGCAGGCTCAGTTCCGCACCACAGAACTCCGCAACTGGAGAACACAGGGCATTTGCTTTTAACATTTTTGTGTTGGGAGAACACATAACCCAGGAGCACTGTGGTGGCAGGCTAGGGCTTGGCTCCTGCAGACTGCTGCTAGCCAGGCCCAGCAAATCCAGTGCAAAGTAATGCAGATGAAGTCTTTGGACACTTGGAGTTCAATACCATGAAGCTTCACTAACTTCATGTAGTACCAGCATAGCACAGGTGAAGCTTTCACCCGAGGAAAGGCAGCAGCTCCGAGAGACAAAACCTTTAGTTCTTACAACACTCCAGTACTTAAACAGGTAAATACTCTTGTGTGCAAATGATGCTTAGATACATGTAAAACACAAGTAGTGCCACTCAGTGCTCAGAAGTGTACCGCTCCCAACCACAAAGGCCCATGTGGGATGGGTTTGTGCAAAGTTCCTGGCAAGCCCTAGACAAGACAGGTTCTTCTGAACACAGGTGTTTTGAGCGGCACCTCCAGGTGATGTCACACACTGACCACGACACAAGCTGCCACGAGCCCAGCTTTCCTTCTTCCAGGCTGCCAATACCAAGACTTCCTTTCAGGGCAAGCCCTGAAGAGGGACAAACAAGGGCAATGATGCAGTGTGGAAACCAACACTCCTAAAATTCTCCAAAGGTATAGGTGTGACAGCACAGAGAGTTAACTCTCGGATTAACAGAACCACAGCAAGCCATAAATCAGCACCAGTGAGAGCACCCCCATAAACACACACCACAAGCAAACACCACTAACAGCCATTTAATCTCTGCTGTGGTTTAGGAAAGGCATGTGGCTCCCAGCAAGGTCAAACAGCAGTGTCAGTGGAGGGGACACATCACAGTCCACAAAGCGGAGTCCATGAACCGCATTCACTTGTCAGGCACTGTGTGTAGGCCATATCAGCAGAGGGGGCACACTGCAGCCTGCTGGTTCCCTACACCCCATCTGCACGATCATGCTACCAGCAGAGGCACATTGCAGCCTGTGGAGCAGAGCCCCCAGATGGTATCCAGTGGTCACATGCCATTGACAGGTCACTCTTGCAGAGGTCACATCGTGCGTGTACTGTGCCTGCCAGTTGCCTGCTGTGTCTGAAGGTCAGGCTGACAGAGGGGTCTGGTCACAGAGCATGGAGCAGGGCCTGCACATGGAACCTGCTGGTCATGTACTGGGTCTGAAGGTTGCACCAGCAGAGGGGACGTGTCACAGCCTGGGCAGCAGCCCCTGCACACGATGCCTGCCTATTGTGAGAACGCAGGGGATGCCCCAGCTAATCTGTGTCACCTGGCAGCCATCCAGCCGGGCGTGGCGCCGCTGTCACTTGAGGCCGTAGAGGAGAGCAATACCCAGAAGTAAGAAGAGTCCGACTGAGAGGTCAGAGAGGAGCCGAAAGCGTCCTTGGGCAGCGACCTCCTCCCGGCGGAGGCGCAGCTGCTCCCGCCGCGCCCGCAGCACCCGCTCCCGCTCCAGCTGCTCCCCGTAGTGCGCCCGGTAGAAGGCGTCGAAGTCGAAGGACGTCGGGACGGGCCCGCGGCGGGCGGGGGCGCGGGGCGGCGGCGGTGCTGGGGCTGCCGTCGGGCGGCCCGAGGGCTGCGGGGCGCCGCGCAGGTCCTCGGCGCTGAGAAGGCCGCGGTCGTACTTGCGGCGCAGGGTGGCGCTCCCCAGCACCCGGTAGGCCTCGCTGACGGCGGCAAAGCGAGCGGCGGCGGCGGCGCTACCGGCGTTGCGGTCGGGGTGATAGCGGAACGACTGTTCGTAATAGGCCGTCTTGATCTGAGCCGCCGTCGCTGTGGCCGGGACTCCCAGCACCTCGTATAGGTCGTGGCGCGCCCGCGGAGATCCACCGGCACCCGCCTGCGCCCCGCGGGACGGCGCCAGGCCGCGGCCGAGCCGCGGCACTCCCGGGCCGGCGGGCAGCAGCAGCCGCAGGCGCCCGAGCGCTGCCGGCTCCATCCCGCAGAGCGGCCTCAGCCACCGCCCGCCGCCACCCCGGCCCGAACGGCGCCCTCCGCGCCCGGCGCGGGGCAGTGACGTCAAGGGCAGCGGCGTCACGCGGCAGCATGGCGGGCAGCGGGCGCCGGCCCGAGCACCGGGGGCCCCCAGAGCTGGTGAGCGGAGAGGAGACCCGGCTGCGGGGGGGCGGGCCGGGCCGAACCGAGCCGAGCCGAACCGAGCCGAGCCGAGCCTTGCCGAGCCGGGCCGAGCCTGCTCTCATCGGCTCCGTCTCTTTCTCCCTGCAGTTCTACGATGAGGCGGAGGCGCGGAAGTACACGCAGAAGTACGGCGGGGTGATGGCTGCGGAGCGTGTGGCGGGGAGCGTGGGGCAGTGTCTTGCTTTGGGGCAGTGGGGGGACCCGCCGGGGTGGGGGGGTCCTGCCGTGAGACCCGGCTGGGGAGCGCAGCCCTGCGGGGAGGCGGCGGCTGCCCCCGGCTGCCCGCGCCTCGGCCGTGCCTTACAGCTCCCGGGTGGTGGAGATCCAGTCGCAGATGTCGGAGCGGGCCGTGGAGCTGCTGGGACTGCCGCAGGACCGGCCGTGCCTCCTCCTGGACGTCGGGTGAGCGCGGCGGCACGTGGGGCGGCTGGGACAGCGCTGGGCCTGGACACGGGGTGGGGGCACCCCGGCCCTAGGGCGCCGGCGTCCGTCGGTTGTGGTTGTGGGATGGAGAGAACCGGGCTGCCGCAGCGGTGTGGCTGCCAGCATCGCCCTCAGAGCAGGCCCGTAACCGCCCCGCTGCCCCTCTTCCTCCCTTCAGCTGCGGCTCTGGGCTGAGCGGGGATTACATCTCTGAGGAGGGCCACTACTGGATTGGCATGGACATCAGTCCTGCCATGCTCGGTGAGCCGGTTCTCCTCCCCTGCCACCTTTGCCTTGCCTCACGGTGGTTGCCTGAGCTGTGCTCTGTCCTGTCCAGATGTGGCCGTGGAGAGGGAGGTGGAAGGAGACCTTCTCCTTGCAGACATGGGTGATGGCATTCCCTTCAGGCCTGGCATGTTTGACGGCTGTATCAGGTCAGTTTGTGTACTTGAGTGAATTATTTGAATACCTGGCCTAAAGAGGATGCTTGGCGATTCTTCTGTGCTTGAATAACTACTGCACCTTTCTGGGTTTTGGCATAGTGAGTCTCCAGAGGGATTTGTGTAACTGCAAAACAGAAGGCAAAGCTACATGGAGAGAATTAGTGCTGGAAGTACTAAGGGAGGTGACAGGCTCTGCAAAAGAATCAGTGGCTGAGTGTCCCAGGAGTCTTGTTTTCTTTCCCAGTATTTCTGCAGTGCAGTGGCTTTGTAATGCTGATAAGAAATCACACAGCCCTCCAAAACGCCTTTATAGATTCTTCTCAACTCTTTATACTGCCTTGGTAAGTGTGCTGCTTTCACAGTCAGGCCTCTGCCTACTTTTACACCCTCACTGGTGCATTTTAGCAAGATATTTAAGTAAATGCTGCTCTGGAGGACTGGCAGGAGTGCCCATTTCCTATCTGCTTGCCTGCCTGTATGGTCTCTCATGCTTCTCTGATCCCTGCTGTTAAGCCTGTGCCTTGTTGTGCTGTGGAGGAGCAGGCTCTGCAGTCTGAACAGCTCTCCTGGGAGACTTCTCCAGGAGGCTTTGGGGAGGAGAGTGCTAATGTCTAGGCTGGGAATTGAGTGACCAGAGGGGTTGCCTGCACTGACTCACTGACACTATTTCCTGTAGGCGCGAGGATCCCGAGCTGTCCTGCAGTTGTACCCTGAGAACTCAGAACAGGTACAGGACATCACTCAGTGGGAAGGAGGCACAAGCAGAGCAAGGCAATGAAGCTGTGTGCTCTTTGGGGCTCTGAATTTCTCCACATGAGATCTGTTTCTCTGTCCTTCCCACCCTCTGTAAAGCTCTTCAAGAGCCCTAAAAAGAAACCTGTACGGAGAATGCCATTTCTGTGGCTTCACGCTTCACAGGTTGTTTTGAGGTGAGCCTTAAAATTAAAGAAATTGGTAGGACAGAATCTGAATCTGCTGTCCTGGATTTTCTGCTCTGTGACTGGAATGGAAGTCTGGCCTGCAGTCATCAGCACTGTCCTATAACTCCCTAGAGCTGGGAAATCCAGCCCAGTATCCCTCTCCTAGTAAGTGTGCTGTGCCAATTAACTCAGGTTAGACTGAGCAGCAGGGAGAACCAAACGAAGGCAGTGGAACTGGTGTCCTGATGGTACTGCAGAGCTGGGAGTGTGGTGCAGAGTTGAACAGGAGCAGGAGCAACCCATCTTTGGCAAACACAGCTGTGGCCGAGCCAAGAGGTCTCTTGGGCATTGCTGGTGGATGACTACTAAATAACTCTTGCATGTGCTTCTTTTTCCAGCTGGAGCTCATTACTGCCCAGGCCATGAGAGCTGGCTTTACTGGGGGAATGGTGGTAGATTACCCAAACAGCACCAAAGCTAAGAAGTGAGTCTTATGCATCTGTGTATGTGGGTGTTTGGGGGTGAGGCCTGGGTTTAGCAGTGATTTACTTTTCCCCAAGCTATTCATAGAATCATAGAACAGTTGGAGTTAGAAGACACCTTAAAGCTCATCCAGTTCCAAGCCTCTGCCACAGCAGGGTTGCTCAAAGTCGTGTCCAGCCTGGCCTTAAACACTTCCAGTCATAGTCCTGGACAGAGGTTACAGATTAGAGCTGACTCTGTTACAAACAAAAATCTGTCTTGCTTGGGGACTGGGAATTGCATGCTGAATCCCAGCTTCATGCTCCTTATTCTTGTTCTTTTAGGTTCTTCCTTTGTCTCTTTGTTGGGGTGTCTGGCACGTTACCAAAGGTGAGCAGCTCCACAGCACAGCAGAGTTGCCTTCCTGGGTGCTGGGTAATGTGGGCAAGAATGGGAGCGAGGCAGCTCTGCACATGCAGTGTGATTTCATTTATACATTTGCTGTCAGTATCACCAACCCCTGCTCTCCCTGAAATACGGTTTCTTTGCCACAGTTTCTGGAAGACCAGTTTGTTGCTCCTCTGGTCCTTTCTCTTAGAGAGCCCTGGGTTCCCCTGAGTTTAGGTGACACGACTGTTAGCTCTGTTTGTTCCGGAGGAGAGCAGAACTTCCCAAATTTGCTTTTCAGGGCCTTGGTACTGAGTGTGCTGATGGAGAAGAGATGCACCAGGCAAAGTTCACCAATGAGAGGTATCGTGTAGGAGGTGAAGTTCTCCCCAAGTAGGGGGGGGCTTATAAGGGCTGAGTTTTCTAAGAAGAGGTGGGGTGGCTTATAAGGACTGGGGTTTGCTGACTGAGGGCCACAGTGCTGCCGTGTGAGAAGTGACTGAAGAGAGGAAACTGGGAAGACCCTTGGCAACCCACGTGGGCACTACTTTATCTTTTTGAAGGGGTCCAGACACAAAGAACAGAACAGGTTAGTTTGGAGGGCTTTGCTGTTGTTGATGCTTTCTGTCCATCTCTTGGCTCTCCAGCTCAGTGCTGTAGTGTAGGCCAGTGGTGATGTGAGGGGGGCTATTTACAGTGCTGCTGATAGCAAGCATAGAGGTTTCTGTTGGGGAGGCAGCCTGCTGTGCCTAAAGCCTGGTGTTGCCTTTCTTTTGATGTCAAATTGTTTGCTTAACTCTGCTTAGCTGTGGCCTGGTGGGTTTCTCCTGCTGTGCAGGTCTCCTCCCATGGTAGTGGTGCAGGGAGAAGCTCCTCCTGCAGCCAGTGGGAGAGACAGAACAGAAAACAGAGGAAAGTTGTCATGGCTGCCAGGAGCTTGTGGCTGGCTTGTTTTCCTGCCTCTTACACTGCACTTCTATGCTCGCTTAGTCCACAGGGTACCTCGTGGTGGAAGGTAATAGCAGAACTGGCAGTTTGCTGGGAAGCCAGAGCTTTGTCTGCTTTCTTTGGAGTAGAGCAGACAAGGGGAAGGTGCTTGTGCTTAAGTCTGTATTCCCTCAAGGTCCCACTGCCCAGCGTATTGCTGATGTGTGAGAAATGGCACAGGGGAGTGCTGGCCTGGTGCAGCCCACGGAGGGTGGGTATCCCTCAGTTCAGAGCCAGGGCTGGAAGCAGCCTCTTCCTCAGTGTGTCTGGAGCTGGACTGTTTGATCACCTACCCCTCTTCACCCCAAGGGTCATAGGAGAGGTACTTGCTGGTTTTATGAAGCAGAGGGCATGCCCAGTTCTGGGTGGCAATCTCCCAGAGCAGAAGACTGTGCCCCTGCACGTCAGTTCCTCTCCAGCTGCTGTGTGCCCTCTCTGCAGGACACGGTTCAGAAATGCCAGGGGCAAGTCTGTGAAAAAAAGCCGGGACTGGATCCTTGAGAAGAAGGAACGTAGACGACGACAGGGCAAGTAAGTTCAGCTGCTTCAGCTGAGGCTGACTGTGCTGGTCTGGCCTGCTGTCACCTGGTCAAACTCCTGCCATAAACCTGCTTTCCTTCCCCTCCCAGAACGATTGTGCTCAGCTGCTCTCTGATTTTCTCCCCAGGGAAGTGCGAGCAGACACAAAATACACGGGTCGAAAGCGCCGCCCTCGCTTCTGAATTCCTTTGGACGCTGATGACGTGGATTATAGTGTGTTGATGTCTCCAGCAAGCCTCTCATGGATGGCACAGGCAGACACTTCAGGCCTGGGACTTGCTGGGACAGATCTTTGTGACTCTTGGAAGGTATAAACTGGCTCCAGTGCTGTCCAGCAGCCGACTGTGAAACTTCCAGCCCTGTTTTCCTGGTGAAGGCAGGCAGTGCTCAGGCCCCTTGGTGTCTGCAATGCCATTGTTTATGTTCTTGAGAGTGCACTGAACCATCTGCAGCTCCAGGTGAGGCAGAACATTATGCTCACCCCCCACTAAACAGTCAATGAGGCAGAACTATCGCTGGTCTCCTGTATCTTGTGCTCATTGCAGGGGAGTCCTGGGGTACGAACATAGCACCTAGTTCCTTGCCAGCTTCCCAGGCACCATAAAGGTGTGTCCTACGAGGAGGGCAAGTCTGCCTCCTGGCAGAAGTTTTATTCCTGTGGCAATAAGTCCTGTGAGCACGTTGCATCAGGCCCAGCTTGTATGCTTTAGTTCTCCCAGGGCTGTCTGCACTCCAGCCCTTGTTCCCCATCATCTCCTCCCTTCCCCTGAAACAGAGGTGCCAGCCACAGCTTTACAGTTACAAATGTTTATTCTACATAAAAATTCCACAAAATGGGAAGCTGGTTTGCACCCAAAGCTTTGGGAGAAGGGGAGGCTAGCAGGAAGGGAAAGGGTGAAGGAGAAAAGAGGCAACATACAGTGTCATCCAGCCCAGTGAGACAGAGCAAGCCAGGGTCAAGATCCACATAGAAAACAAGGACACTTAGCTCACAGTACAGCAACAGTACAACTCCACAGGGAGAGGGGACTTGGAAAGCTTTCAAGTACATATAATTACTAAAAAAACCCCAAAATAATCCCCAGTTCGAGTGCAAGCTGTGCGTGCCCCACACTGTTCGTGGAATACTGCATCGACACGCTCCCAGTGCTGGGAGGGCAGGTGGCACTTGGAACAGAGGTGGGGTAACCCAAAGGACAAGCAGTCTGAGGTCAGGGGCTGGAAAGAAAAAGTGAAATGTCTCCTCAAAGCACAACCACACTGTTGGTGATTTGGTCTGTACATGCAACAACAGGTAGGTAAAAAGGAACTGAGTGGGGCTTCCCATAGTGCAGGGGTAATTATTGCACCAAAACACCCTCCCCTCACAGCGAGGACAGTGTGAACCTGCCTGTGGGGCAGCAGTGGCAGCCTGCTCCTCGGCCTCCCATGTTCTGGAGCTTGGCACCACCACTGCCTGCAGGATCCCAGCAAAGTGCCAGTGGCGGAGCTGCCGACTGTGGCCCCATCCAGCTCCTGCTGCTGGCGGGCTGCTGGTGGTGGTGGTACCAACAAGGAAGGAGCAAGTGCCAGAGCCCCCTCGTGCTGTTCTTAGCCTTGTGCCTTGACGGGGGTGGGCCACAGCCCTGATGTCTTGTGAGCTTGTGCCACAAAAGCCGCTGCTTGGAAGATAAAAAGATCACCTTGCGCTAGCAGTGGGCATCGCTGCAGGGCGAGAGCCTGAGAGGAGCTTTTCTGCCTGCCCACCCAGGAGCAGCCCTGCCAGCAGTGTTATTGCTTCCCAGAGGAGGGGGCCCAGCATTCTTGTGGCTCAACTCAGCAGAGTATGGTGACAGGGAACTGTACTGGGACAGGAGCAGCAGGTACTCGTACATGACTTCCAGCTCCCTTCCCTTAGATCAAGCACCCTGACCATGCCTGCCTCCTGCCCTGGAGGGGCTCCAGAGCTGGCCTGCTCCCTCTTGCGGGGCTCCCCGTGCCCCAAGCCCTTTTGTGCACACAGGCTGCAGTGCTGTAGCTCACATCCGTTGTTGTGGGAATGTGAAAGAAGGGGACTCCAGAGTTGGCTGCTCCCATGGTTGCACCCCTGTGCTCGGCAGAGGACTGGGCTGGACACGCTTCCCAAGGGCAGCTGAATGCAACCAGGGGTTGTACAGTGGGACCTCGGGTAACAGTGGCAGGGAAAGAGACACGTCTGGGTTGCTGCTGGGCAGGGCTGTGTCTGAGGAAGGTAGCGTTGTGTCTTGGCTACAGCCCACTTCATTGCCCCCACAGCCATGGGCACCACGCAGAGGGCCAGCTCCTGTGCTACAGCACCCAGCCAGGGTGGAGGAGCACAGGGACCCTGGTTGGAGCAGAGAGGTGAAATGCAGCTGCAGCTGGAGTACTCATTGACATCAGCTGCCCTTTTTCTGCTACCAGCATCTGGGCTTACATCCAGACCCTGTCCCAGTGTGTGGCTCCAAGTGCCTGCCCTGCTCTGGATTCCTCAGTGGTGCTTTGGCATGTGCATGGGCCAGCTGCAGCCCTGGAATCTACAGAGGAATGTAAGGGCAGAGCCCTGCTCCCAGCCTGAGGAAAACAGACAGTGGCATCACAGGGTTCTTCGGAGCTGCCGGTAGGCTCAGGCCACCACAGTGGCTGTGTCCACACAGTGGGTGCAGCAGAGGGTACCCAGGTGCCTCCACAGCATCCTTCCATGTGTGGGTCCTCTCTGATGGCCCAGGGGATGAACAGGCACAAGGGCTTTGTGCCAAGACTGGAAGGAGCAGGCGGGTGCCAAGAGTTGGCAGAGATGGAAGGGGGAGTCAGGCACTGCCCTGCTCAGGAACTGGTAGGACCAAGGAGGAGGAAGGCTGCTCCTTAGCTAGCAGGGGTGTGGATGCAACAAGGGGTGCTCCAGGGACCACAACAGGAGAAAGCTTGGCTGCCTCCAGCCCCAGCTATAGGTGCCTATGTGGAGAAGTGAGGCTGGATGCAACCCTGATCCCAGGCAAGTGCTGCCAGGGACTGTGAGCATCAGAGCCAGCCCCAAACCCCAGCAGAGCCCAGCCCTCGGGCAGAAGGAGCTAGGGCCACTGTGTGCCACGGCTGACAGAGAATAATGAAGCTTTGGTGCAGGCAGAGCAACCAGCAAAATGTGCTGGCCTTCAAGTACCTACCAGGCCAGCACCAGCATGCAGCATGTCCCCATGTGGCCCCAAAGCAGCAGCCGCTTATCCTACACTGCTCCATCAGGCACCCACTGTCAGCAGCGGAACATCCAGCCCCTGGCACCCACACTGGGGTGAGGGCTTGCCTTGGAGGGGCAGGAGCGATAGAGCCCAGCAGCCAGGCACGGCCACAGGACAGGCAGGGACAGGAACAGGCAGGGCCTGTCTGAGCACACCCCTGGGGAAGGGTCCCGTGAGAGAAGCAGCCCAAGGAAAGGTGTTTGTAAGCACAGACACAGCTGACATGAGAGCTCTGGCTGGAGGTAATGGGGAAGCTGGGAGAGGCTGACTGGGCACTGTGCTCCTGAGGAGCCCTGACACCCTGCATCCTTGGTTGTCACTACTGCAGACTGCCCAGCACAGGAGGAGCAGCAGTGCCCAAGGGCACCCCTGTCCCCAGCCAGCCATGCAGGCTGGAGCAGTGATGAGAACTCGGGTTCCCTCCCAGGGTCCCCCTCCTGCCCATCACCATCCCCTGCACCCTGCCTACGCCCCGGGGCTGGCGCTCCCTCCATACAGACGCACCGCACCGCACACACAGCGTCACAAACAACCATGCATTAGAAACTGAAATGCTGCTGGGAGGCTCCGGGGCTGCGTGGTTTGCTCCGGTGCGGCTGCGGCCCCGCGGCACAGCAGCTCCGTCCATCACACACAAACAGTCCCGCGGGGTGAGTCTAGCCGAAAATGCCACCGAAGGTGGAGGCGATGACGATGCCCAGGATCACGCAGCAGATAATGATCATGATCTTCTTCTGCTCAGGTGTCCCGGCACCGGCAGGGAGAGAGGGAGAGGGGACTGTGAGTTTGGGGGTCTGCAAACTGAGAGCTCAGGGCTGCGCTCTGCCCCATTCCTGTTTCCTTGTGGCAGGCTATGAGCAGCACCCTGGGAGCCAGAGGGGCAGGGATGGGCACCCCAGCTCTCCCTTCAGCCCTGAGGTGGCAGAGTTGAGCTGCTGGCTCCTAGGCCCCTGAGCTGATACAGGCCCAGGCAGCTGCCTCTGCACTCAGGGTCAGAGCTGGACCATGCCTGTTCACTCTATTTTTTGTCAAGGGATGTGGCTCTCACAGCAGGCCTGGCCCACAGGATCCATCCACCCTGTCCCCCTTCCTCCCCCCCCAAGACAGCACCTCTGCCCATGGCTCATTGGCATTGATCACACAGCTTGTGCCAGGGAGCTCTGCCTCAGTTGGTGACACCCGTGGGACCTGTGCTGCACCCAGTGGTGTTGGGTAAAGCAGAGTCCAGGCACCTGTGCAGCCATACCATGCTGCCCAATCCTCAGGGCAGGCAGTGGGGCAGGCAGGGGCCTGTCCTGGGGCAGGAGCCAGCCAGTGCCGTGACTCACCCGTCTGGCTTTGCTCTGGTACTTCACTGCTTTTTTGGTGTCAGACACAGCTCGCTCCACGTAGTCCACTGAGTGCTCCACGTTGTACTCGATGCGGTCAATCATCTCGCCCTGCAGAACGGGGACAGAGCCCACGTGCCCACACGCACGCAGACGTGAGCTCCTTCCTGCTCTGCTCCCCAGCACCGTGTGCACGTTGCCCTGCCCAGCAGCCCTGTGAGCGAGAGAGGGACCCTCAGTTGAAGCAGGTAGTGGGTGCCCCACGGTGCCCTGGACTGTGGGCTCTGTCCCAGAAGGGCTGGGACCTCTGTGCACATCCTAGCAGGGAGGCAAGAAAGGGTGAGGGTCAAGGGTCTCCAGCCAGGTCTTGGCCTGGTAGCTGCCCTATCCGGTATCTCAGGTGACATCAAAACCACAACAGGATCTACACTGACACCACACTGCTGAAACCAGAGGCACGGCAGGGGAGCAGGGACCGCATCAGCAGTGCCATGTGGGATGCTCACAAAACCATGCACATGCAGGGACAACCAACTGCTCTCACCTGCACCAGCACCCTGCTGAGAGTGCAGGGCCCCGCAGTGAGGCTGGCAAGGATTGCAGGGCCCTGCCAGAGCTCCTGCCCTGCTCTGCCCCACCGGCTGCAGGGCTGGGCAGGGAATGCGGACTGCTGTGGACATGGGGACACAGGCTGGTGTGAGCTCCCCATCCTGAATACACAGGGAAGCAGCCAGGTCCTGTGGCAGCTGGAGACAGAGCCTGACAGTTCATGTCACTGACAGGGTTGACAGGGGGTGTGTGGCTTGAAGCCCAGTGCCCTCCTGCATGGCACAAAGGGGCTGCAGAGCCAGCAGGTCCTGGCCAGCAGCTCTGCAATGCTCGTTCCTTGGCCTAATGCAGGAGAGCATTGGGTGTTACCCCCAAGGCACTGACCCCCACCAGGCTTCTGCTCCTCCCTGCCTTGCCTAAAGCTGCTCCTTCTCCTTCCCACCTGTGCCATGCCTGAGCAGAGCAGGGAGCTGCCAGCCCCGCTGCCAGCCCAGCACCCTTCTGCTCCTGGTGCCAGCCTCCCTCCCCACAGGGCAGTGCAGGGTGCTGGCACAGTGTAGCCCTTCAAACGGGTCAGGGAACTGCAAACCCCCCATCTGTCCCCCAGGGCAGACAGAACAGGCACCAACGTCGCCTCACCACAACCACCCCTGCCTGCCCACCACAGGCAGTCCCTAGCAAAACACGAGAGCCGCAGGCATGCAGGGCATGGCCATGCACAGCAGAGCATGCAGCACCGGCAGGGGCTCAGCGGGGCTTTACCTGCCACTGATGTCTCCTCAGGCCATGGCAGCGTGGCAGGCAAGAAGTGGGGTGAGCAGAGACACCGAACACGTGCCCAGCTCAGGGGCTGAGCACTGCAGGCCGGCGCCAGGGCAGGGGCAGCCTGGCAGGACCACCACATCTGGCGGCACCCCAAGCTCACCCAGCAGGACCCAGGGCTCCAGAGGAGATGGAGACTCTCCATCTGCATGGCAGTCACCCGCTACCCTCCTCCTGAGCCCACCACCGAACCTCTCGCCCTGGGCATGCCGCAGCCCCCAACTCTGGGTGGCTCAGCCCTGAGGAGCCCAGCTCAGCCCCAGTGGTACCCACACCAGTCCCAGATGCAGTTTTTCCTCTCAGCACCCACCCAGGCAGCCCCATCATCCTTCAACCTCTCCAGGCGAGCCAGCCACAGGGCCGCAGTGTCTCCCTACCTGGCTCTCCACCAGCATGGCCATGTCCATGAACATGTCGTGCAGCTCTCGGATGCTGTTCTCCAGTTTGATGATTTCACTGTGCCGTGTCTCAATCTCATTCAGTGCCTGCTTGGTGATGTTTGAATCCATGATGATCTGCAAGAAGACAGGGCCACTGAGCAGTGTGCTTAGCCCCTCAGATGCTGGGCATCAAGAGAGGGGCACCCCACTCCACCCTCTGGCCCCTCCTCAGACAGCATCCTCAGGCAAGACCCAAGAACCCTGCTGCACAGGGTGTGCTCAACTCTCCACTGTGGCAGCACATCCACCCAGCCCCTCCCCAGGACGAGCCAGTGCTTACCCCAGAGGAGAAGATGGCTGGGTTGCCGCTCTCCAGCATGTCCTCCAGCTCCTCGCTGGTGGTGGTCCTCCCAGCTGCAAGTGACACAACACAGGTCAGCCATGAGCCCTTGATACAGCCACAAGTCCTGCAGCCTTCCTGCAGGGTGCTCCTGTCTCCATGGCATCTCCCATGGCATGGGAGCAGCAAAGCTTCCAGCCTGGAGAGTGCACCAGGTGGTTCAGGGAGCTGCCATCCCACAGCCTGGCTCTGTACCAGCCCTGAGACCCTCTTTTTAGGGGGGCCAAGCAGTCAGCTTGGCCCAGCTCACCCAGAAAGCCCGTCTGCCACTACCTGTTCCTGCAGGGCAGGGAGTGGTGCCAATGGATCAGTAGCCACCAGGACCCAGTTGGGGGGCTGGGAAGAAGGAGGGAGTGAGAGCAGCAAGCCAAGAGCAGGGAAGTTGCAGATCCTGGGCTAGCTGAAGATGAGGAGGACACCGGGCTCAGCAGGGCTTGCTGGGTGGGCGGGTACTGCTGCAATTGCTGGGCTGCCTGAGTTTTAGTGCTGCAGCTGCAGAAACCAGGCTCTGTCCTTCCCCCTGCAACACAGCCCTCCTCCTTTGGGAGCAATTCATCCATTGTGCATTGTTGCCTTCCCTTCCTCATGGACACACTCCACACTCCTACAGGGCACAGGGAGATTACTCGCTCTGTGGGTTACACTGATCCTCCAGCATGAATTTCAACACGTTCTTCAGGCTAACAGCCAGGTAGGACCTGTGAAATCACAGTGCTCTGCAGAGATGCCAGCGCTGGGCAGGCTTCTGCTGGGGCTGCCCAGTGGGGTGGGAAGGGTGAGCAGAGAGGGCAGGAGACATCCCACTGGTGTGAGGAGGAGCAGATGGGGGAAGACAGGCAGGAGCAGGTCCCCTGCAACACACTGCCTGCAGGCTCTGTCAGCGGTGTCATCCTCCAGGATGAGTTCAGGGCACCTCTGAAAGGGAGATGGAGGAGATGTGGCAGAGTGCAGGGACAGCCCACAGGACAGTGCTCCTGCTTCCAGTGCTGCTGCACCAGGGACTCGGGGAGACACCAGAAACCTTGACCCTGGTCCGAACCTTCACCACAAATGTGTCAGTACCCAGGGAGCACGGTGGAGGGACCTGCCTGCCCTGCTGTGCCTGGCCGCCATCCCACAGGCATGGCACACGCTGCCCCCTTGCATGGGGAGTTCCTTAAACAAGGACACCTTCACACTTCACTACATGTCTCTTTCTATGCAAGGTCCCGCACCTGAGGCAGAGCAATCTCCAGTACCAGCACAGACTGGGGGAGAGAAAGAGGAAGGGAGGGAGGGAGGGAGGGAGGAAGAGAGAAAGGGATAGATGGATGGATGGATGGATGGATGGATGGATGGATGGATGGATGGATGGATGGATGGAGAGCAGCCCTGTGAAGGACTCAGGGATACTGCTGGGTGACAACCAGGACATGGCCCAGCAGTGTGCGCTTGCAGCCCAGAAAGCCAAGTGTCTCCTGGGCTCATCACCACCAGCGTGACCAGCAGGTCGAGGCAGGGGATGCTCCTCCTCTGCTCTGCTCTCCTGAGACCCCCTGGAGCTCTGCATCCAGCTCAGGGGTCCCTGGCACAAGACAATGGTTTTAAACTGATTAAGGGTAGGGTGAGGTTGGACATAGGGAAGAAATGTGGTACCATGAGGGTGCTGAGGCGCTGGCACAGGGTGCCCAGAGAAGCTGTGGCTGCCCCATCCCTGGCAGTGCTCAAGGCCAGGTTGGACACAGGGGCTTGGAGCAAGCTGCTCTGGTGGAAGGGGTCCCTGCCTGTGGCAGGGGTTGGAGCTGGATGAGTTTTAAGGTCCTTTTCAACCCAAACCACTCTGTGAATCCATGATCCTATGACATGAATACAACAAAGATCCAAAGTCTCAGTAGAAAGGGCTGGAAACAAGTTATCTTGAACGCAGACCTGAGTCTACCTCAGGAACAAGGCAAGAGTCAGGGCTGAAGACATACCTCTGCGGCATGGCTCAGATATGGGCTGGGTGGCCCAAGCCTAATCTTATACAGCTCTTGGACCCATGGACAGAGGTGAATGTCCTGTGTGATGCTGGTCTAAACAGTGAAGACCTGTTAGTGCCCCCAAAGCTGTAAGAAGATGCAGCTCTACACGCATGGGTGGCCGGGGCAGTGTTATCCAGTGCAGCTTGGACAGGTTGACACTGCCTGCAGGGGGGTTGGGATGAGCTGACTTCATCTGTACCAGCCCAGCCTGTCACAGACTGCCACTAGCCTCCCTGCCTCTTCGGACCCACCTGCTCAGTTGGCTGCAGGGGCCAACTCCAGCGCTGTGCTGGCATTTCCATCCAGTGAGACACTTCCAGCCCAGACAAACACTGGTCATTCCTGAAGGAAAGTGTCACAGGAATCCTAAATCGCCCATCTCGGCACCACGTGAGCTGCCCTGCTGAGCTGCCAGGGCCAGAGCAGCCCCCAGACCATCCTGGCTGAAGGGCAGCCGGGGATACATGCACAGCTTGCCTCTCTGCACATCAGTTAACCTGGTCTTGCAGAGTGAGGCAGAGGCTCATTAATTCTCACAGGGCCTTTGGCGACAGCAGATGCCTTATTTTTGGCTCCTTGGTCTCGCATTTAAGAAAACTGTTCATAAAAACAAGTAGTGTCTGCGCAGCACCTCCATGCCCACCAGAGAAAGCTCCTCTAAGCTTCAAATCCAGTTTCCCCAGAGCAACACCTCATCAGATTTGTCATAATGGACAAAACAGTGAGGGAAAAAGCAAAGCAGCAACACTTCCCACCACAGGCAGCCCAGAGGCTTGTGCTGGCAGAGCACGGCTCCCAGCAGCAGACACCGCAGTGGGGACACCACTGAGAGAGGCAGGGTCCAGGCAAAGGACAGCCAGAGAGCTGTTGTGCTGCCATCACCAACCTGCGACACAGCACAGCCTGGGATCCCCCCATGGCATCTTCAGGGCAGAGCCTGGGAGGGCTGTGGGGTGCCCCAGGGGGTGGCTATGGCCTGGGGCAGTGACTCTGCACCACCCCTTCTTGTGTGACTGTCCTAATTCCAAGCAAGAAGCAGATCCCGGCAGGCTGGAGAAGCTCACCAGGTGTGGGGAAGCCTCCCCTGGGCAGCTGAGAAGTCCCTGCTCTCACACTTTCAAAGCCTGAGTGATTTGCTGGCTTCAATGTCAGAACTCCTGGCTCCTATCTTTGGATTCATCAGCTGAAAAGAGAGCTGAGGATTTCATAGAGCTTCCTGCAGTCATCACTTTCCAGCTGAGCTCCATTCCAAATAACATGTTCAAGAGCCCCCAGAGCAGCAGGGACTGAAGGTCCCCACTGGGACACACCAGGACAAACAGAGCCCTCTGCCCAGGAAGCACTCCTGATAAAACCTCAATAATCTTTGGCTTTTGAGGAGCCTTTTTGTCAGAAGGGATTTCCCAGTGTCCCGACAGAGGAATCCAGCTCTTGCAAAGGACTGTGCACAGGACTGTGTACCTTCACAACATCATCCTGCCTCTGCATCTGCTCCACACCTCCCCGCAAAGGGGAAGCTGGTACCTCATCATCACTAACTAGGACACCTCCTCTGCACCCAGTCACTACACCATAGTGTGTCCTGAACAGCCTTTTCCTTGCACCTCCTCAGACTCTGCCAGGCACTGACAGCCCCACAGGATAAACAGAGCAAAGAAAGGGATCATTTAATATAGCTCCATTATTTAAGCAAAGCATCAGAGTCCTTCCAAAATCCAGAAAAACAAGAGGAAGGCTTTTTGAGGTCTGCAGACAATAAGGACCTCACTAAGCCCTTTCAAACTTTCTCTCTTAGAAGGGAGGTACAGGGATACCTCAATTCCTGTTTCCATCCCAAGCCATCCATCCCTCTCACTGGAGGGGTGACAGCCTGGCATTAGCTGACGAGTGAGCTGATCAGCTGGACCAGTGACACACGCATCATCCTGCTTTACATGAAGGCATTGCTGAGCTTTGTGTCAGCCAAACTTTCCATTCAGCCAGTGTGAATCATTTCTCTTATTATTATAGTTCATAAAGACTAATCTTAACAGGCTTGCACAACCAAACCAAATCTCCTTCAAAGAAACTACTATGAGCACGCAGATTCCTGGGCATCTGCAGCTCCTGACGGACATTCCCACAGGTGACTACCAAGGACACCATTCTGACTCAAAAATCTCCTACCTTATTATTCACTGTGAGCTGTGAAAGGGAAGAAAACCACACATTTGCTTGCGAGAAAAAACCCAACCCTGGACTAGGATTCAGACCCTTTCATTTGAGCCCCCAAAACCATGAACATATCTGAAAATGAGATTATTTGCAAAAATCTCTTTTAATCTCTGCATGCCCTGACTTCTCCCTTGCTTATTCCCCTAATTACAGCGGTGATGTGGTTCTTCTTTGCTGGGAGATAATTAAAACTGAACTCAGTGTTACTGATGGCCACGGAGAACCACCAGGACAGCAGGTTTTGTGGACAGGGAGGACCAGGCTTCTGATCTCAGTGCATGCTGGTGACATCCTTGGAGGTGTCACCTGGCATCCACCTTTGGACACTGGAAGACACCATTACTGCTGCCAGAAGCCACCAGGGTCCTGGGAGATGCCTGGAACAGACGTTGAGGCTTGTGCTCCTTGTCCAGCAAGGGAAAGTGCTGGGAGCACTGAGTGCCCCCTTTTCGAGAGGTCTGTTCTCTAGTTTTCTGTTTAGTTCAGTTCACTGGCAATGACAATCACCCAGAGGAAAGGCAAGGCAAGACATGGGAGTCAGGAATCCCCGCCAGCTTCTCTGAATTCAAAATTAGCTGTAACCAAGGCAGAAATCATCCTCCCTGTGCTCTTTGCGCTCTCTACCCAGCAGTCAGGAAAACCTGAGGGGAGGTTTTTTGTGCTTTGCTGGATGCAGTCTGACATTGAAATGCAAATACCGCCACATGAAGTCCCTGCTCATTGCAGGGGGGCTGAAATAGATGACCTTTTAAGGTCCCTTCCAACCCAAACCATTCTATGATTCTGTGAATATCTTCCAGCAGGAGCTGTGTCCTGGTTGCTCCCATGGGTGAGAACACTGCCCCTGTGCACTGTGGTTTCCAAGGGGGAGCTCTGCACAGTGGCAGGAGCTGCTTGGATATGTGGGAGCGACACGACCCCAGAGCTTGGCTGCGTTCCCCCTCCAGGTTTACTCACTGATCTCCAGCTGCCTCTGGATCCTGCCCTTGCAGCGCTCCCGGTAGTCAGTCTGCGTGGCATTGTACTCGGACATCACCTCCACGAACTTGCGTGACAGCGTTGAGTGCTGCAGAGAGGAGAGGAAGGGAGAGTGGGGTGAGGGTCCTGCAGGAGGAGAGTCCTGCCACCCCCGAGCTGGGGCAGGCTCAGCCCTGAGCACCCCTGCACCTCTAGCAGCCCAAAAAGCATTTGGAGCCCAAAAGCTGGTCCAAGGAGTGTGATGAAGTGCAAGGGGGCAGCAGGTGATGAGGCCCCAGGGGCATGCACCAGATGCACTCCTCACCCAAGCCCAATCCAAGCCCCCAGAAGACAACCTGTGGTGGCGGCAGACCTGAGAGTCATGGCTGGCACCATCCTCCTCACCCATACCACAGCTTGCGGCCAAGCAGCCCGGAGCTGAGGCCACAGCGGTGCCCTGGGTCCAGCCCTGCTGGCCCTGCCACACTGCCAGGATGTGCTGGACCCGGCACAGGCGCAGGACGGGCACGCAGCAGTCACTCTGTGGTGCTGGGGGAACCCAGTGCCCTGAGCATCAAACCCCCGACCTGTCTGCACGCGGCTGGTGGGGGAAGCCCAGGGCTGGGGCTTGGCCAGGGGCAGCTGTCCTCACTCCGGAAGCGTGGTCCCACTTTTCCTCCTCACACTGGAGGGCTCCCCCAGGCACCAGCCCCACAGGGACACAGGAGATGCCTGCCTGCCCCAGGCTGAGTGAGCTGCCAGCCCTGCATGCAGAGCACACTCATCTCGGGAGGCTGCTTTTCCCTCTCCAGGAAATGCACCAGACAACCTTAGAATTACACTTGACCAGGGTGCTGCTGAGCACTGACACCCCCCCGAGCTGGCTGCTGCGCCTGGGGAGCACCCACGCTGGGGCCCACCTTGCTGCCTGACCCAGCTGTCAGGATGAGCTCTACAAACAGCCCTGCGGATGGTCAGGAAGGGCAGGACAGAGCATCACATGCATCCTTCATCCAAACACATCTCTTGAATTAGCCCTTTCCCTGATATGCCAGAAATTGAGTTTCACAGTACCATGGACTCAGAACAGTTGAGGTTGGAAGGGATCTTCAAAGATTCAGTCCAACGTTCCCTCTTCCCCCCAAGTAAGCAGGGGCATCTTCCACTAGATCAGCTTGTGGGAACATTAAAGCCTTTGGACTGCTCCTCAGGGCTGTGGAAGGCTTTGTTTGGAGGTAGTTTTCCTTGCAATCAAAAAAGGGATGCATTTCTTGTTCTTGATAGTGGTTGGGCTGTTTACAAAGATGCAAAAAAACCCATCCCACCACTGGGGGCTGCATTCTGACCAATGACACTTGCACAACACAAAGAACCACCAGCAGTAGGACACGGGGCTCAGCCATGCAGCTCTGCTGGTGCTGGCTGCCCTCACATCATGCCAAGCTCCTTGCTCCCCATGGCTGCTGGTAGCAGCATTCCAAGCACCATGCTCCTGTCCCCTCAGGTGTCCCAGCGGGAAGGGCTGGCAAGGGGGTGTCAAAAGCCACCCTTTGTGACACTGATGTTCTGTCATCCTAAAACATGTAATGGTAGCTGGAAACGGGCTGTGGACCCTTCCCACTGCTGGGGGAGAGTGGAGAGGGTGATGACCCAAGGGGATGCCGGCACTGTGCAGCTCATTAGAGCTGTGAGTGCACAGATGGCAGAGCTCAGCCCTCACCGGCAGCTGTGAGCTCACACAGGGCACAGACAGGGCTCAGGCTGCTCTCCTGCTGCAAAGCAGCAGCTCCTCAGGGCATGAGGGGTGTTCATGACAGGATCATGGACTCACAGAATCATTTGGATTGGAAGGGACCTTCAGAGATGACCGTCCCAACCCCCTGCCACGGGCAGGGACACCTTCCACTAGAGCAGCTTGCTCCAAGCCCCTGTGTCCAAGCTGGCCTTGAACACTGCCAGGGATGGGGCAGCCACAGCTTCTCTGGGCACCCTGTGCCAGCGCCTCAGCACCCTCATGGTACCACGTTTCTCCCCTGTGTCCAACCTCACCCCACCCTCATACAGTTTAAACCCATTGCCCCTTGTCTTGTCCCTGTAGGCCCTGCTCAAAAGTCTCCATCTTTCCTCTAAGCCCCCTTGAAGTCCTGAGCAGCCACAGGAAGGTCTCCTTGGAGCCGTCTCTTCTCTGGGCTGCACAGCCCCAACTCCCTCCCCTTTCTCCACAGCAGAGCTCTGGATCAGGGAGACCAGTGCAGTGCAGCATCTCTGTAGCGCCAGACATGCCCAGGGCACACGAGCATTCCGGTGTCAGTACACCCAGAGCAGCCCCTTCTCCATGAGACAGCACTGGAGACTTCTTGAAGATATCCTTGTGTTTGCTTTGCAGTTACTCTGAGCCAGCAGCAGCTTGGTTTTTACGGCAGAGACTCAAAGTCAGCTCATCGCATTGCTCCCATGCTGGCAAACCTCACACAAAGCCCCCAGCAGCTCCAGCTTCCACAGGCAGCCTCTGCTCAAGAGGTGCCTGGCCCAAAGCAGGGTTAAAACAGCTCCTGTGCATCATGGCTTGAAATCCAGCAAACACGTGAGGTGCCACCCAAGCGACTCTTCTTCTGCCTTCTCCACATCGTCTTCCTAAAATCCAGTTCATTCTTATTAAGCTAAAGAGAATCAACATATTGTTTATCTGCAGCCAAATATAGCCTGGGTGTTACATGACAGCCCTTTCTGCTGATCAGTATACCCCACCGTGCCTCTTTTACTTAAGAAGTTATTTAATTTAGGGTTTCTCTTGTCAGATTGTTATTTGATGCTCCCACAGGCATCCCACATGTCTGAAAAATACATTTGATTTCTGAAGGAACACAGAGTTTCATGCAAAATGGGCAGGAAAAAGCATTTTAAATGGCTTTCAGTCATTAAATAAAACTACCTGGATAGTCAGGGTAAATAAAAAGCATACCAAAACGTACCTTGCATTTGAAAGAAACTCACTAAACAGAAAATGTTAACTGAAGTTAGGAAATGGGGTTGTTGCACCTGGGTCCAGCAACTCTTCACTTCCCAAGCATGGGAAAAGCAGCCCATTGCTGGATTTCCAGTGAGCTCACACAGCTCTGGATACCCTCACAGGGCTTTGACACCCCCACAAAGCATCCAATGAAACCCGGAACCTTGGCCTTCAAGGTTTCAAATGAAGAGAAAGACATCTCTAAAGTGCTCATCGTGTGGGTGTGCCGGGGGATGCCAGCCTCCCTCCTGAGCCCACTGCGGGTCACAGCAGCAGCAGAGATCCTACCGCTGAGCTCCCACACTTGTGTCTGTTTCAGGGTTGAGCCCCACACCAGTCAGATAAACCAAGCACAACAGCAGCTAGAGCAAAAGCTGTTCTAAGTAACAAGGACCCAACCTCCTGCTATTTGCTCTGTTATGAACTCAAGATTTGAGAATTCTAGAAACATGGTAAATACTGCTGAGACGCCTGGGAACCTGCGTCATTGGCAATGTTTCTGGGCTGGGGATGCCCTTGAGAGCTGTGTCCCCAAAGCCCCTGCCTCCCCCCGCTTTTGCTGCTGGTGAGCTGAACAAGACAGGGTGCTTTATTCAAACTGCTGCTGTGAAATGGGGACAAACAGAGTAGTTTAAATGTAATGAATTAAGAACATAATAACAACCAGCCCTTGCTGTGCCCTGGCAGAAACTGGACAGCAAGTACTATCTACCTGTTTGGGTGTACTTTGGGGAATGATGGACAAGTTCCACGCCTAAAAGTAGATAGGACCTCTGGCAATTCAGTACCATATACTGTTTCTTAATGCAAACTCACTCCACACTGTTTCCCTGTTTCCCTCACTCCACACTGTTTTGCTACAGCCGGTGCATGGGTCCAGGTGACCCACAGAACAGTGCTGTCAGCCCCTCTAACCCACGCTGCGCGGTGACAGGCAAAGCCAGCAACAGAACCCTGAGACAACACGGCTCTTGTGCCCAGCTCAGCATCAGCCTCCATCCCATCCCGCGCACGAGTGTGCAAACCAGGCACACAAACCACTGGTCATGGGGTCCCAGCAAGGGGTCAGCATTCCTGAGAGAACGAGCAGCTGCAGGAGCCCAGAGCCAAACCACCCAGGCTGGAAGCCAAAGCCCCAAAGCGGAGCAGTGTGCTTCATCACTGTCCTGGGTTCAGCAGTAGCAGTCATTTTTCTCAATAACCCACCTCAGCCTCCCAACACAGTGGCTCCCACTGCTGCGCAGAGGAGCTCCTCTCCCTCATTACCTGCAGAGCCTAAAGAAATGCTCAGAAATAGCCAAATTACAAGAAAATCTCCCACTTCCTTGACTGAATAGTGCATGGCTTGGGCTGTTCATCTGTCAGAAGAGACAGCTCTGGGGGACCTCACTGCAGCTGTTCAATATATATACATATATATAGGCAGCTTACAGGAAAGATGAAGAAAGACTTCTGACCAGGGCCTACAGGGACAAGACAAGGGGTGATGGTTTTAAACTGAATGACGGTTGACTGAGGTTGGACAGAGGGAAGAAATGTGGTACCACGAGGGGCTGAGGCACTGGCAGAGGATGCCCAGAGGAGCTGTGGCTGCCCCATCCCCGGCAGCGTTCAAGGCCAGGCTGGACACAGGAGCTTGGAGCAAGCTGCTCTAGTGGAAGGTGTCCCTGCCTAAAACTATGGCAGGGGGCTGGAACTGGATCATCTCCGAAAGTCCCTTCCAACCCAAACCACTCTGGGACTCTTTGTGGAGCAGAGCCCTGAACCCCACTCTCCTACGTGCCAGGATGATGTCCCAACTGCAGCGTTTCAACATGGAGCAGGTATAAACCCTGCTCAAATACGGCCCTAGGCTACACAGCACCAGTCTGTGACCACCCCTGGTTTCCTCGGACACTGCAGAAGTAACACCTTTCCCTGGGAAACATGGGTACACCATGGGACAGCCGCCGTCCACTGCCACCTCCCTGCTCTCCCCTCCTTGCCACTGCCATTCAACACCTTCATTTGAGATGGCAAACAGCTCCTGAAGGGCACAGTGGAGAACTCGGCAGAGCAGAAAGCCCAGTGGGGGTTTCACAGCACTGCTGTCAGCACACCGCAGCGTCTCCAGAGTGGTAGATGCAGAGATGCTGCTTCGCTGTGTGCTGTTGCACCATCCTTTGGTTTGCTTTTGCTGTGCCCCAGCAATTCTCCTTCCCATTTGTTTTTGGGACAAGCCTTTCTCTCGCCCCACAGGTTGAGGACTGGTTCTCCACAGACTTAGGCTCAGCTGTGACAGCCTCTGGTGCAGGGCCAGGAAGATGCTGGGCTCCAAGCTGGAAGCTGCCTCTGCAGAGGTGAGCATTTACCATCACTGTGGTAATGATCCAGCACCTACTGCAGCCCAGGGCAGGTAACACAAGTGGCTTCCCACACTGAAAAGGAGATAAACGGGAAAAGCCAAAATCCCTCTGACTTCACTGCAGAGAGCCTGAAGAAGATAGGATTGTTACTGAGCTTTATTTGTGCACAAACCCTCTGCGAGAGCGCAGCCCCATGCCCAGATCAGCACCCCTGGGTGCTGAAGAGCTACACTGGCAGCTCCTGTCACCTTTAGCAGTTTAATGGTTTGCTAAAACACTTTGCTGCAGAACAATGACTTGCTGCTCTGCTCTGAGACACCTTGCTTTCATCCACATCCTCCAGTAGAACCAGCAAGGACAAGACACTGTAGCCTGCCCTGCAGTGATGCAGAGCCAGATTCCACTGATGGAGCAATTCCCAGGTCTCTCTTGTCTTGCTGGGTGCTCTCTCACCAAGGGATCACCCGCAGGTTGGCCAACCCGCAGTAAAAACTACACACATCAACCCTCCATGGTGAGGCACAAGACAAAACTTCAGCCCAGCAGGCCTGCACAGTGCTCTCTGAAAGGCCACCCCTCTTTTAAGGCTAGAGTGAAATTTTTGGTGAGTTACCCAGCTGCACCAGTGAGCCTTGGGCTCACTTAAGAACTGCTCAAGCATCCTTCCAGAAACACAGACACTTCAGGTTTCTGAACACACTGAGGGCAAACATTCTCCCCCCAAAGCTGGAACTTCAGAGGGTGTATGTGCTCCAGTCAAAACCACCTTCAGTGAGATGCTTAATGTGGATGTGAAGAAGTCCACCCGTGTGTTCATCCACGCAGACATCCAGACTTGCACACAAGGACAAAGCACACTGCTCTCCCCTCCGCAGCTGCCTTTCTGCATACTTATGTCACAGGTCCTTCAGGCTGGCTTTTGCACTCACCTGTTTGGCAACATGCTGCATTCCTTTGCCCAGTATTTGCACACCATAACTTGACTGCTCTAAAGCCAAGCCCTCCTCTCCCATCACCTCTGGGATCACAGAATACCAGAACTGTTAGGGTTGGAAGGGACCTCTTGAGATCACCTGGTCCAACCCCCCTGCCACCCAGAGCAGGTCACACAGGAACAGATCCAGGTGGGGTTTGAATGTCTCGAGAGGGAGACTCCAGCCCCTCCTGGGGAGCCTGTTCCAGGGCTCTGCCACCCTCAGTGGAAAGAAGTTTTTTACATTGAAGACCCCTCAACTACCTCCAGCCGCTTCCTGTCCTCCCCATCCCAGTGCCACAGGGCAGAGACTGACCTGAGTTTTCCTTATCCGCAAGTCAGCAGATGACCTGTTCAGTCCTTCCTCTTGTTCAATGCTCTGCTCAATACCTGGTCAGGGTAGAAGAGCATAGGTTATTTCATGCTGTTTGGAGAAGGAAAATGGATTGTTTGGCAAAGGGACTGTACAAGACTGATACCTGTGAACCAAGGAGCACCTGGCACTGAGCAGTCCCCAGCTCCTGACCCTAGCCAGCAATTTAGCCTGGACTGGCAGCAAAGCCCCATTCCATTACTGCAAAGCACTCAGTGCCTGGCCACCAGCTGAGGCTTGGTGCTGTGGAGGGCAGCACCTTCGTCCCCCAGGCTGGTAAGCGAGGATTTAAATGCAAAACTGATGGAATGCTTGGGTCTGATCTCCACACTTTACAATATACAAACAACTGGAGGGACCTTATCGGTGCCTACAACTGCCTGACAGGAGGATAGAGCCAGGAGGGGGCTGGGCTCTGCTCCCAGGGAACAAGGGATGGGACAAGAGGAACCGGCCTCAAGCTGCACCAGGGCAGGTTTAGACTGGAGATTGGGACAAATTTCCTCCCCAGAGGGCGCTCAGGCATTGGAACAGGCTGCCCAGGGCAGTGCTGGAGTCACCATCCCTGCAAGCGTTCACACACTGTGGAGACGAGGCACTCAGTGATACAGGTTAGTGGTGGCCTTGGCAGTGCTGGGGTAAAGGTTGGATTGATGATCTTAAAGGTCTTTTCCAAGCTGGCTGATTCCATAGAGTGCTGTTCTCCCCCTGCTAGGCGTGAGGAGGAATCACAGCTAAAATGTCTCTGCAAAATACCAAAGCTCAAGACTTCTCCAAGGACCCTAAAAAGATGTCCCAGCTGCCCATTCCTGCACAGGCAGGACCTAGCAGGATGATGAGAACGTGCTTCACCTTGCTGCGCAGTCCTCTGCAGCAAAGCATAGCTTTGCCCTTTTATGCCCGGTAATGCAACTAAGTGAGATGAATTCTTCTCTTGTCCAAAACCCATAAATGACAGCAGGCAGCAGCAGTGCCCTGCTCCGCATCCCATCATGGTTTGGGCAGGGAGAGGGTGGGGGAGGCAGGGCAGGAGGTCCAGCACAGAGCAAGGCAGTGCCAACCTGCTCCTTGAGGCCAGCTTGGGACACACTCATTCAAAAACTGAAATTCAGGGACTTCAAAAGCCTGTCAGCAAGCTCCCATCAGCAGGCTGGCCCAGCATGCAGAGATGCATGGTGCCATGTAGACCACCAGGTGTGAGCTGGTGGTGTCCCTTGAGTTTGGCTGCTGACACCTTCCCAACACAGGTTCCCACAGCCCTCTGTCCCCAACACCTTCCACCCTGGAGCAGGGTCCCATGAGCCCAGTACGGGGCAGGTTTCACCTGAAGCAGGGACTCCCCATTCCCTGGAGCTGCCCAGTATCTCCCCATCACCACCCAGAGTGGCAAGGTAGAGCTTGGGACACCACCACACGGCGGGCATCTGTTTCTGCTGTGTGCCGGTTAGCGTGGGTGGCCCCACAGCAGCACCCTGTGGAGAGCATCAGCACTGTGAGGAGGACTGTGGGCCTGGGGAACCCTTTGTGGTGCTGGAAGAGGGTGTCCAGCAGCACAGCTTGCTCTGGGGAAGGGCTGGAGAACATCAGCACAAATTCTGCACTCCCTCCTAATTCCCTCTTGGAACTAGCATCTGACCTCCAGCTTATGTGAAAGGCCTTGTCTCACACAGCCTGATGGCCACAGAACTTCTCTGTGCACGCTCCTGCCTGTGAGCACACTGCCTGCTGCCTGCCCAACATATTCCGTCAGCAACTGGTCTCCCTCCGCGTTTGTCACAAACTGCTCCCTGTTCCCAAGGAACAGTATTAGCAAACATTGTGCATTTATGATCATTAATAAATTCACATTTTCCCAAGAAGCCGGTAATTAGAATGAGCCACTGCATGAGCAACGTCTGTCCTAAAGAAGTTCATTTGTTGTCAGCAGATGGTGGTTTTGATCAGTTCTGACTGTTTTCTTTCATTGATCATGCTGGCCATGATCTGGGACAAAGCACAAGGACTAATATCTGTCGCTCCAGGTACAAATGGTACCAGTGAATCTTTTCTGGAAGAAGGATAACAGGAATTGGAGCCTGTCCTGCAATCCTTCAGGCTGCCAAAGCACCCTAAAAAACACGGAACAAACACCTATGGGATGACACCTACGGAAAAGGATTTTTGTTTCGCATGGGCTAAACCCTGTCTCTATCTGGACACCAGGGAGAGATCCCAGTATAGGTGGAGCTGCGGGCCATGGGAAGGGGTCCCCTGGTCTATGAAATGGGTAAGCTGACCCTGAGCATTCCTTCCTGAGTCTATGTGAGAGCATGTGTCAGGAGGACAGAGGGTAGCAAGGGGACAATGGAGGTACAAGTCACCTTCTGCCATATATATGGGACATGGCCAAGCCAGTGGTGACAAACGTAGCAAACAGATCTAGCCATATCTAAGTTCTTCATGACGGCAGGGCTCCCATGACACCCTGGGATTAGGGAGAATGTTGCTCCCATGGGGGAAGTACCAACTCCTCTCTGATCCTTCAGACACAGCCAGGTCTCCTACAACAGTCTCAACCAAATCCCATGCTGATGTCCAAGGCAAATCTGAGCTATGCTGGGATGACCTGCCTCCTACATGAAGATGCTACCATTCTCACCGACCACCTGCATTCCCTGGGATCTAATCTTGAGCTTTTGGGCTCGGCCGAGTGCTGCAGCACAGCCCCAGCCGCCAGCAGCCTGACAGTCACGTTGGTCTGGAGGAAGCAGGGTGGGGGCAGTGAGAATCCCAGGCATCAGGACAGCATGCCCCATGCCAGCACACTGGCCAGAGCTGCACCGGGAAGAGGGACCATGGCTCTCTGCGTAGGACCCCTTGGTGCTGCACCTGCCTAGGCTGCCTGTGCCAACATGGCTCACCAGGGAAGGGCCAGCTCTTCTGGGAGGCTTGCACATTCTCCAGCGGCACCTCTTCAACAGCTCAGCCCTGGCAAACCAACCTTTGGCCATGCTGGGGGTTTGCTCACTGCAAGAGCCCAGCGCCTGCCAGTGCTCACAGCCCCACTCCCTCACCTCCATCTTGTGAATGGGGCACAAGGGGGCAAAATCACAAAGGGAAATAAAAGCAGCTGGAGGATGCTAGGGGGACAGAAAGTGACATCCATCCCCAGGAGATCCCGGCAAAGTAATGGCAGATGTCTCTTCCCCACGCTCTGCAACGGCTCCCAGCGCCAACTCAAGCTGACACCAGAGAATACACAGATGGGGCAGGGCTGTGGGTCTGTAACCTGCCCTTTCCCACCCAGAGCAAACCACCACAAAACGGTCTTGACCTGTGTCACACCCCAGGTGCTGCTAGTACAGGGCTGAGATGACAGCCAGGGTCCCGTGGCATTTCTGGTCACGGGGGATGAATGGTGAGTGCTGGGCAGTGGAGGCATGGAGCAGGACACAGGGCAGCAGCGCTCCCTGCCTGCTGCACCCCCTGCCCAGCGGAGGGCAGCGGGCAGAGCTCCACAGCAGCGTCACAAATACTCACTCTTTAGCTTGGAGCGTACTTTGTTTGCCGTCTTCTTTATGTCAGACATCAGCTCTTCCAGCTCCTCCTTCGTTTCTGAAGAGAAAAAAGGAAACACAGATGTTTTGGAGACTGCTAAAATCTGCTGCCTGGCCCCTTAACATCTGGAGACGAGTACTGCAAGCACTCCCAGCTCCAGACTGGGAGCACTTCCACCCCAAGCACGCTTGTTGGGCTCTCCTAATGGTCCTGAGCCTGGAAATAACCAGACTGGTTGGGCAACGAGAGAGGCAGGAAGCCCTCCTGGAGGACCACCTGCCTGCACAGCCCTAACCTGCCCTGTACCCAGTGTGCTGCAGAAAGGGGAAGAGAATGGATACACAACCCACAGTGATGGTTCCTGCAGTGAAATGAAAACCACTGCTAGTGACCAAAAACCTTCTGCTCAGCGAGGCATTCTGCCCTGTGGAGAAGGACTCAGGGATACTGTTGGGTGACAACCAGGACATGGTCCAGCAGTGTGCGCTTGCAGCCCAGAAAGCCAAGTGTCTCCTGGGCTCATCACCACCAGCATGACCAGCAGGTCGAGGCAGGGGATGCTCCTCCTCTGCATCCAGCTCAGGGGCCCCCAGCACAAGACATGCATGGACCTGGTGGGTCCAGAGGAGCCTCCAAAACGGCCCGAGGGCTGGGACAGCTCTGCTGTGGAGAAAGGGGAGGGAGTTGGGGTTGTGCAGCCCAGAGAAGAGACGGCTCCAGGGAGACCTTCCTGTGGCTGCTCAGGACTTCAAGGGGGCTTAGAGGAAAGATGGAGACTTTTGAGCAGGGCCTGCAGGGACAGGACAAGGGGCGATGGGCTTAAACTGGACAAGGGTGGCGGGAGGTTGGACATAGGGGAGAAATGTGGTATCATGAGGGTGCTGAGGCACTGGCACAGGGTGCCCAGAGAAGCTGTGGCTGCCCCATCCCTGGCAGTGTTCAAGGCCAGCTTGGACACAGGGGCTTGGAGCAACCTGCTCTACTGGAAGATGGCTCAGCACACTGGTACCAAACTGTGCCCTGCCTGTGCAGCCTGTGATGCTGTGCACTGCAGAAAGCCTGGGTGGTGGCACCAAATGCCCTGCACTCACCCATGGGCTTGTAACTGGCCTGCCAGGGATGTAACTGTGCCCCAACCATGGTACCAGCTAATCCCAAAACTCAACCTTGACACCAGCAGGCTGCAATATCTCAAGATCCATATACAAAAGAACATACAAACCACCTGTCATTCAAATGTGATTTCTAGAGAAGCTGCTACCCCAATGCTCCCTCTTGATTTTGATGAGATCAACACTTACTTAATTAAATAGACTTTGTTTAATAGACTCTAGGCACATTATCTGAGTCATACCAGTGGCTGTGGTAGCTCTGTGCCATACACTCCCACCTGCCAGTCACAGGCATAATGAGAAAATCATGATGATGGGAACGTGCTGGGTGAAGGTCACATCCGATGGATGGCTGCATTCATCTCTGACTCAGAGCTAAGAGCTTCGATGCTATTGTGAAAAGGAAAAAGGGAACACGTCTGCCAATACCTTCACCCCAGGCTCCAGGTATTCTGAGCAAGCCAACACAGCACCTTTCCAGGGAAAGCGGTACAATTACGTATGAGCCAGAGAATAAGCACAAAGGCAGGGAAGGAAGAGCTCATCCCCAGCTGGAGTTCTCATTTGACTAATTATTTATTTTTTCCCCCCATTCCTGGGAAAACTTGTGTTTGATGAAGAAATAAACCAGCCCAGGCTGAGTAACTGCCTGCACCCAGACAGGCTGGGGCCAGCTCACAAGGAAGCAAAGACCCAAGAGTGCTGGGGGACAACAGGCTGCCATGAACACAGGGTCAGGCCAAGAGCCAGGCTTGTTCACCGGCAAAGGGGAAAGCCAGAGGGGCTCCTACTGCAGCCTATGACTACCCAGCAGGAGGATGGAGAGAAGCTGGAGCTTCCTGGAATCCTTGGAGGATTCAGCTCCTTGCCGAAGCCTGGAGGAGCATAGGGACAGGACAACCAGCAAAGGGCCAAGCTGGGATAAGGAAAATTCAAATTAGACGTTAGGAAAAGAAAATGTCATCATGAACGAGGTCAAATACTGGACCCAGGGAGTATGTGAGCTGTCCATCCTTAGGGACATCTTAGCATGTGGCTGGGGTGAAGGCCTGAGTAACCTGACTTGCTGGAGGGTACTGGACCAGGGACCACCAGGGTCCCTTCCCACCCATATCCACCTTTGGTCCTAAGAAACAATTTCACATAATTCACTGCAATGTCATTTCCCTTCTTCCTGTCAATGTGGGCTGAGGGATTTGCTTCAGTGATACCATCACAGAGGATGCACAGGGCAAGCGGTGAGCACAGGTGAGAATCTCCCCAAGCTGGCTGCTCAGGAAGGGGACAGGACCACGTGGACAGATGGAGGGGACACGGGACAGGGAGCTCGGCTGCCTTTCCTCAAAATATTTCCAACTGAGCAGCAAGGAGAAAACACTGCTGGCTGGCTTTGAGTCACGGGATGTGCGAGGATTACTTGGCGACCTGGCAGCACAGATTGCCCAGACAATTATTTTCACTTCCATAGCGTCTGTTTAAGTGACTCATTCAAATCTATTTAACTGTTCATGGCGAGTAACATTCAGCAACAGGAAGCTCAAGTACCACAACATCACCACAGCTACGGTCACCCCGGCGAGCAGAGCAGCGCTGAAGGGCAAGATGTGATGGTCAAGAGGCCAGGCCCCCATATCCCACAGCCCACAAGGGATGTCTGCTCCACTCCTGCTGGCACCGAGCACAGCAGAGGAGCAGGGATGTTCCCATGGTCACCAGAGCCTGTGGCCACATCCCAGGGGTTCCTGGGAGTGGGGAGGAGGTTTTGGTCTGGGACTGAGACCTGGGCTGTGACCTGCCCTGGAGGGGAGCTCAGGAAGCACAGGGGAGGTGGGGTGCACACAGGGGAACAGGCAGCAGTGGAAGCTCTTTCTCCTCCTCCCGCCAACAGCAAATGGGCACCTGCAAACGCCCAGCCCAAGCTTGTAACACCTCTCGGCTCCATCGCAGCCTCAGCTACTTGGGAAGGAGGAAAACCCAACTCCCCTGTGTCACCTTCCCACATCTCTCCAAGTTCCCAAAAGTTTCTCTCAAGCAACAAGAAAAGAGGCAAATACAAGGAACTGGCACCCAGAGCTGCCATGCAGGATGCTCCTCAGGGCAGGGAGGAGAATCCCGCCTGCAGCCCAATGCTCATCACTGATGTTCACCATTATCCATAAAGAAGGAAGGAAAAAGCCTCCAAACTGCCCAGCAGAGAGCAGGAGGGCAGCAGCAGCAGGCATCAGACCTTCACCCTTCACAGTTAATGGGAAGCAACAGATGCACCCCTGCCGCAACATGTCTGAGCATCCCAGTGACAGTGATTCTGCATGCTCAATACAGTTCTCGGCTGTCAAAGCTTCCTCACTCACTTATTGTTCACATTAATGAACTTCCACCCATTCGTGACCTGCAATTCTTTACTGCCAACAACCAACCTACATATTCCAGAGAAGTACTATTTCAACCTCATTCATAACTGAGTTACCTGGCAAAGCTGGAAGAGGGATCTTTTTGGCAAAGTTACCTCGTTGAATTCAAAATGAAAGAAAGTCCTGACCACAGCTCCTCAAAGGAAATGTAACACAAATAAACCTTACAACTTGTCTTCCGTCTCTCGCAGGTTGCCATGGATGGGGCTGTTTACACAATGTAGGCTACCTTCTGAAGGCGAATGCGAAGAGGAAGCACAGACCTGGCAGCCCCACGAGCTATCTGGTCTCTGGGAATAAACCATAAGGAATCCTTCCTAGGAATATACAGTGTGGATTGAAATATCTTCCATGGTGTTCTATGGCCTTAAAGTACTAAAAATCAAACTTCTTCTTAAAATCATCAGGGAAGAGATTGGCTAGAAGGGCTGCTGCATCCCCAAGATGGGAACTACTGATCAGGCAGCCTCACCTCCAAGCCCAGTAAGATAATGGAGCATGATCTCCTCCTGGAAGACATGTTGAAATATATGGATGGCAGGGAGGTGATGGGAGACAGCCAACATAACTTCACCAAGGGCAAGTCATGCCTTAGCTGGTGCTCTTCTATAATGGAGTGACTGCAACAGTGGACAAGGGAAGAGCTACTGATGCCATTTACCTGGACTTCTATAAGGCCCTTCATATGGTCCTCCACAATCCTCTTGCTTTTTATTTGGAGATATACAGATTTCATGGATAATCTATAGATGGATAAGGAATTGGTGGCATGGCCACATCCAAACTGTTGCAGTCAATGGCTCAATATGCAAGTGAAAACCAGTAACAAGTGGTGTCCGTACTCTGACCAATACTATTTTGCATCTTCATCAAAAACACAGACAGCACAACTGAGGGCACCCTCAGCAAATCTGTGGGTGACACTGGAGGGAAGGGTGGCATCAGAGGGACCTGGGCAGGCTGGAGGAGTGGGTCTGTGTGACCCTTGTGAAGTTCAACCAGCCCAAGGGCAAGGTCCTGCGCCTGGATCAGGACAATCCCCCGTATCAGCAGATGGATAGACGGAGGGAGGGACAAAAGGAGAGACGAAGGGAGGGACGGATGGATAGATGGAGAGCAGCCCTGCAGAGGACTTTCCAGCTGAAGTCCCATTTGCCAAAACAGATTTGGGATATCAATGACCTCTGTGCAGTCCTTCAGTTCCCAAAGGCTGATGAACCTTCCTGGAAATGGAGCTCAGAGTCTGACATTGCAACTTATTTATTCAAGCTTGGTAAAATGGGACAGAACAGGGGGGCACACAGAGGGGTGGGCAGGAGAGAGCTGAGCAACCATGAGCAGAGCCAGGATTGTCTCTTCCACACAGAAGCAACACAAGGAGCTGCAGCTGCTTGCTGAGCTGCAGAAATAGGACACACTGATGCTGTCCATCTGCCTTTGCCAGAAGAGAGGGCACAGAGACATCCGATGCCATCATGGAGTGCTAGCAGCCCTGGGATTTGTAACTTCCAGCGTGGCAAGAGGGACAAATCCT